GCTGAAGGGTGCAGGCGGGGGTGCAGGTGAGTGCGGGCAGCAGGGGACGAGCGGAAAGTGCTTTTGAGGCTGGCCGCTCCTGGCTTCCAGCTCGTGCTCCTGCAATAAACTGCATGGGCGCGATGTCGGCCCACTCAGATGCTCGACCCTGGCCCGAACCCTATTTGTTGACCCTGACCCTGACCCCGGCGCTGACCCTGGCCCTCACTCACATGTCGATGAGCTTGATGTAGTGCAGCCTGGGGGGGGTGAGGGTGTGTGTGGGGATGATCCATGTGCGTTTATAAGGGTGTGTGCGTGTTTTGTGCATGTGTGTGTGTGTGTACGTGCATGCATGCATGCATGCATGCGTGTGTTTTTGTGTGCACACGTGCACAGAACAAGCCACGAATGGTGGTGCACGTCTGTAGCCCATCATCTCGGCACGATAGTCAGTCAGACCGACCCAGGTCACTCGAACACAAAGTCAACCAAGAATCCCGTCTATCGCACAAGTAGTCACGCAGACGATGAGCCTTGAATTGGACATGCAAGCTCAGATCAGATGGGATCATCAGATCACCTCCTGTCAGAGATGGGCTCGTACACCTGCTCGTACTTGCGGATCCGCTCCAAAAAGTCACTCAGGGCCTTTGGGGGGTTGGGGGGGCCACCGGTGTGCGGGTGATTCTCAATGTGGAGAGCGGATACGTCTTGTGTGTGTGTGTGTGTGTGTGTGTGTGTGTGTGTGTGCGCGCGCGCGTGCGTGCGAGCGCATGAGAGTGTGTGTGTGAGTGTTGTTTGGGGGGGGGGGGTTGTGAACCTCAAGGCTGGGACTCGTAGGGTGGTATGACACGTGCAGGGTGGCGCTCTCTGCACCAAGGCTGCGGGGCAGGCCACCACTGGAGGCCACCTCGCACGCGCCTTCCAGTGCAAGGGACCGCCCCCAAGCGGCGCCGGCAGGCGACTCGGAAGAGAGGGCTCCGCAAAAAGCGCAAGCAGTGGTGTACATCAAATCGTCGACGACTGACTTGCAACCTCTGCTAGTCAAGGGAAGTGGGGGGGACCCCTCCGGGGTGGCTGATGTGGCCGGGTCACCCACCGCCTCGGTGTCAACGCCCTGGTAGTCGGGTGAGAACCTCATCTTGTACCTGCACGGGTGACGCGGGGTTACACCGCGGGGTGACGCCACGGGTTCCGCCTTGAAATGGCTCAACAAAGCACGAGGAAGGGCAGACTTTGCAAGCACCTGCACCACAGGTAGAGGCGACATGCAAGTGCACCCGGCTTGCTGTGACAGTACAAAATCACCCCAGTCGCAGCGTGTAACCGCCTGCAACCGCTGCAACCGCCGCCGGCGCCCACCTGTAGTTTGACTGCAGCACCTCGGTGTCGTTGCAGATCGACTCGATGAACATGTACTGGAACTTGCCTGGTGGGGCGGGTTTGTAAGGGAGTGGTGCAAGAAGTGGTTGGGGGTTGTGTGAGGTTGCGGCAGGTTGTGGCATCATGGGAGGGGGTGAGGATGCGTGAGGTGGGGTGACGGGGCATGAAAATCATTTGGGAGTTCAGGAGAAAATGGTTGAGAGTGGTTTGCCCGTGTGCCGTCCCCGGAGTCCATCAGAGGGCTGGGAGGGCAGCAATAGCCTCGCCAGGCGTTTCGCAGCATCCGCGCCAGCAGCAACCAAGGTCCGTTTGAAACGAACACAATGCAGCGCTCGCAAATGTCGATGTAGTTATTCAATGCAAACACAAATTATATGTAAAACCCGCCTACCATGGAAGGTGTCGATCAGCAGCCGCCGCCGCTCCTCGGTGGTGTTGGTCGCGTCAAAGATCGCCACCTGCCCGGTGGCTGTGTTTTGTATTTTATAGCGGCCGCCGAGGGGTTTCGGGGTGGGGTGGGTCAAGGGTGGGTGGCGTCGGCGGGCGGAGCCAGGGACGAATCATGTCCTACCTTTGCCCAAAAAATCATGCAAAACTCGAGCGTCGTCACGAGTGGCAGCCAAGCAGCCGAATCGACAGGCGGGGCGCATAATACATAAAAAAATATCGGGCCACCCACTGTCGAGCCAGCTGGTCATGTCCTCGAGGGCCGCGTGCAGCGCCCTGTGGCGCGCCACCAATCCTTGCTGTGTTGCGGCGGCGCGCGGGTG